GGAAGGAGCTATACACAATACACACATTCAAGCCTTATTGGTTAAAAAGAAATAGCAAAATCGATTATTTAGTTATTCTAATTGCATTAAGTTCGATTTTGATTTAATCTTTCTTACTTACTATAACATGATCGAAGTAAGGTCAAGTAATTATCTTTATTAGATTGAGATGATACCGAGAGTTGATGAACCAGTGAAATTATATTTCACATAATTATGAGTTGAGTATGCAGAAAATATTAATAGGTGTTCGATATTTCAATCGAACTATTAGGTGAGAAAAAAACACTATCATATTTGTTTCTTTAAATAGATTATTTGAAATATATATAATAATTTAATCAAATAAAACAAACTTAGAGTAAGATAGTGACAAATCCACTAGTTGAATTGTTTGATTTGTTTCTTAACCTATATTATTCTTTTCTTCATGGAGAAATATGATGTGAGTAGATAGATAAAGAGCAAAAGATGGAAGTCTATAAATTTATAATATGTCGCAAGTACTTATAAATAGTAACGTGTAAAAATGAATAAGATTAAAATTAATTTATTATTATCAATTTTAACTTAAATGTTTTGACAAATGATTTGGGTCGAACAAACCTAGATAGTTATAGTATTAAAATAAATTAAAATTTTGGGTTAATATTTAATTTACAAAAATATATATACATGTAAGATATAAGTTTTTTATACATTAAAAATAAAATTATTTCTATTGAAAATTTTTAATTGTTTATTGTATTTTATTTAAAATAAAATAATTTGAGTTTGATTTCAAAAATAATTTTATTTTATTTTTAAAAATAAATATAAAATTAGGGCCTTTTCAGGGATATAAGTGTAATTTTGCTTAATTGCAGTGATAAAAGACATGCTTAACAAAAGCGAAGTGCTTCGGGTAGAAGAAGAGAAGACTCGGAATTAGAAGCGGAAGAAGACGACGCGAAGGAGATCGAAACCCGAAACCCTAGCGCTCTCTCTCTCCGGTACTCTTCCTCCTCTTACCCTTCTTTGATCCCAGAAGCCGCCGACGCGCCAATTCCGATCGGATCGATGGAGGAAGAGCGGCCCGCGCTGGAACCCGACGCCTCCGGGGGATCCAGCTGGGCGTTCTCTGGCGACGGTGCCGCCGCCGCGATCGCCTCCCTCGAGGACCTCTACGGCGGCGGCGGAGGCGACGGCGAAGGGGAGATCGGTTGGGGCCTGCCGCTGGGTCCTCCCGGCGTCGGGGAGGAAGGTGTGTTCCCCCCGCTTCTCGAAGTACCGGAGTCCTCGTCCGGATCCGCCCCCGCGGCAGCGGCGGCAAAAGCAGCCAGGGAGGAGCGATCGGATCCTCCCGCGGCCTCCGGCGATGCCGCGTCTTCGGTCTCGAGCGAGGAGCCGCCGCCTGAGAGCGACGAGAAGGCGGCCGATACCGCGTGAGTTCTATCTATACCTACAGTCTTCTCCTTCGGCCAGTGGCACTCACGTAATTAGCTCCCATCTCGTAGGGGTGAATTGGGGACGCGAGAGAGAAATTTTGACTCTTCTTTATTCTTTGTTTACTAAATAATTATACCAAATAATCACATTTTGAAGCAAAAATATAGAGATAATGTCGCCACGGAAAGAAATCGAGACGGTGGAATTCTGCCTACAACGATGGCAATTACGTAAATAAGGAGCGTCTCGGGGGGTAAAATGTTTGTGTGGGGGGAGGGGAGTGCAACTTGCAGCCCGCGTTCCTTTCGATCCTTCGAGGATTACGCGGTTTCCTCTCTCTCTCTCTCTCTCTCTCCCCTAATGTCTTGGTGTTTATCTCTAAGATGATTAATGGTAGTATTAGGTGATTCCGATAGCTTTAAGAAGTAGTACATATTGTAGTACATGGCATAATCTTCGTTGGTAGTATGTATGGTGTTGTTAGCAGTAATATCGCATTAGCATTTACTTGTTCTGTTGTATGTTATGCACATTTGGTGTCTCGATTCCACCAATGTTGTTGTTTTCTTTTGTGAACAAACAATATATATATGTGCTTTTTATTTGATCTTATTCGACACAACGACAATATCATGTCTAGTGATATTGTCGATGTTGATCATATGATAAATCATTAAGATCTGAATAATATGGTGTTTGAAACAAAGCAGCTATTCGACGTGGTGTCGATAAGAGATTAAAAATCATCTTCATTTTTGATGCTAATAGATGATTAATTCGGACTCTTGAAATGCTTGGCTCCTACTCTGCGAAATCCTCATTGTTGTTGTTGATCTTAGTTCGGCTTTTCTTTTCCGATTGCAAATCCTTGAGCCTCTTTCTTTAGATGATTCAGTGTTTGCTTATAGGGCATCGCCTGCCATTCTGCTTGTAGGAATAAAACCAGTAAGAAGGGAATCAAGCGCACTCGACAACCCAGGTTTGCATTCATGACCAAGAGTGAGATAGACCACCTTGAAGATGGCTATAGGTGGAGAAAATATGGGCAGAAAGCCGTGAAGAACAGCCCATTTCCGAGGTCAGTTTCTCTCTAATTCCATTATTACTCTTTGTTTTCAGCATTTTTTTCATGTCGATCATCTTCCGATCTGCTACTTTTTCTTGTTTGGTTGAAGTCTTCTGTAGCATTTTAGTTTCTGTGATCTTGAATGCGAAAATAGCTTATATGTCACATCCCCATTAGAGTGGAAAGTAGACTCAATCCAGATTTCAGGCAAAAAATTGTATACCGACTCCTGGCTAGTTGTGCAGGAGCTACTATCGGTGCACCAACAGCAAATGCACGGTGAAGAAGAGAGTGGAGCGTTCATCTGAAGATCCCACCATCGTGATCACCACCTACGAAGGGCAGCACTGTCACCACACCGTGTCTTACCCTCGTGGAGGCTCACACCTTCATACCGCAGCAGCCCTCGCAGCAGCTCAACAACTAGCTTTATCGGCGCCGCAGTTGTATGCACCACCATCGCCGTTCCCTCAGAGCCCTTCGCTGATCCATCCACAGCAAGAACAGCGACCCCCGTCCCTGCTTGACCGAACCCTAGCACTTCCTGCCGTCGACGAGGGTCTGTTGGGTGATATAGTCTCGCCTGCGACGAGGAACAGATGAATAATTGGGTACGTTTTACAAACCATTTATGGCTTTCCTTCACGCGTATTATCATTAGCAGCAGAAGATGAGCAATTAGCAGTTGATATAAAGTTGAGCAGACGCTTAAATAAATGGAAAGATTAGGTGAAAACTCAGAATCATGATATCACCTCAATGATGGCACATGCATAACTTGATTGATCATAGAACAATAACTTAATTATGAGAATATTCTTCTCTCCACATAAAATGGGTAGTGATGATGATGATGTAGACTCGGAGGAGTTTGTGTGGCCAAATCCGCTTGTGCTTTATGTGGTTCTTTTGGCGTTCGACTTTGTTTCTCCAATGCATTTATATTCACATGGAGAAGAATATGTCTCGTAGCAACCAAAAATTACTCTTCCATCTAGTCAGTTCATCTTTCTCGGACGAACCTTTTCCTTCGCTTCTCTCTTTGTTGGTGTTGACTTGGATGAAACATTGTCACTGCTCTCAGCTTTTACAATCTTTGCAGGCAGTCGTGGCAAACAGTGGATGCATCTCTCAGCTTACGAATGGAGATATTGTTTATGGCTGCGTGGAAACATCCCTAGCTAGGCATTGCCCGTTCAGACGTAGACTTCTCTGACACTTGGCTGGTTTTAATGGATGCCAACTCCTGTTTCTTTTGTTGTCCTTTCGATCAGCTGTATCATTTCTCTACTCTGTAGCACGATTAACTACTGTAGATTTCTCCGGTGCAGGAGCATTAAAAAGCTAGCTTACTGTCTCCTCCATGTAACACCAGATTCAGAACAACCCTAATTTAAGAGTGCTGTTTATGGATCCAGCTTTCGACTATACTCGCGGTCTGGAACGCTGAGTTCGAGGTAAGAAAAAGCCTAACTTTGTTTCCTTGCCTGCAATTGTCTCGCAGATGCACGTACGTGAGAAAAAGTTGCATGTGCTGTACGTGTAGCCATCGTCCTAAAAAGAATAAGCTGATGGAATTTACTGGGGTGAGAGAATGGGAGAGGACTGCATGTTCATGTCAAACCCTAGATTGTCTTTTCTTGTTCTTTTTCCTTGTTTCATTAGTCTTTTATCCGATGATGAGATGACAGTAACATGACCACCAGTGTTTAATGCATTATATTTGTTGATTATCTTATGGGTAAATGGGCAAAGAAAGTGACAGTGCAATTAGATTCAAGTCTTCGAATGTGTCAATCTTCCACCTTCTATGGCATTAATTCCCAAAGGTAATCATCCTCCACCACCATTTTAGCACCTTCAAGTCCCCATACCTTTTTATTTTTCTTGCACAAACCCTATAATAATTATAGGAGATGATCAATGACAAGTGAACCAACCTGAGATGCCATCACTATTCTATTGTTGCAGTCGATAAGGAATTACTCATTTCCATCCTGAATTGATTCTGACCAGACCAATGACTGACATGCTTTTACACACCCATAATACAATTAGACATCAAAAGCTCTCTTGCTGGTGTCTATCTGCAAGAGGTCAAGGGAGATACTGACAAGACCTTGTTCTTATTTTATGTGTGGTCAGTGGAACAACATTGGTTGGACGGTGGCAATCTTAGTCAGGCCTACTGTGCTTTGCCTTTCTTCATCATGTGAATCCATAAGAAGTGAATCGCGATTGCTGTATGAACTAATTGTGAGGACTTGTTTAGGTGTAATATATCACTTGCAGACAAGAGAAATCATGAACAATGGAAAAGAGCAGGACTCTGCTCATGAACAATGAATGGCATGTCAAAACCAGTGTTTCCCAGTGCTGTCGAGCACCGAGATTGCTTTCATCTTGGATCAGCTGTTCGTATGATTTGATTACCTCGACATCGGTTTATTCTACAACACATTGAAAAGGAGAAGGAATCGAGGAACTGCGGCTCCAAAGCTCGACTCTCAGCAGCTCAACGATGGATGGAACAGTAACTCAGCAACCTTTGGAGCAACCTGCACTCCCCTCTCGCTCTTCCATCAATTGGAGATCACACCCAGCAGTGGCTCATGCTTGAGGTTGCCTCCCAGCCACCATGACTTGAGGTCTTCACTTCCATCAGCTGGAAGATTGAGATCGAGCACGCCGGGCTTCTCGAGTGGCTGCTGCCGAATGGCCGCCCAAAGTCTTTTGGAACCAGCGGTGGCCACCAAGTGAGACCTCTTGTGGCCGCCCAAAGCCTGGCCGGAGCTGAAGAACCTGCTGCAGATGAGACACCGGTGGCCCTTGTTCGCCTTCGACGATCCACTGCCGGTGTCCTCCGTCGCTGCTTCGTCCGCCGAAGCATCGGTTTCCGTGCTGTTCTCAGCGACATGGGTCCTGTGGCCCCGGCAGCCTTTCATCCTCTTGTGGCTTGCTCTGTGGCCGCCGAGAGCTTGGTGGGAGTCGAACACCTTGTTGCAGGACTTGCATTCGAACTGGCTTCTCTTCTTGGTAGCCTTAGCCAAGCAATCGTTCGAAGAAGCATGACGGAGAGAATCATCGGCAGGATCAAACCTCTCCAGCGTGCTTGAAGAATTCCTCCCAAGTTTGTGATCGATTCCGTCTAATCTAGTCTTCATGCTTGTTTCCCCTGCAACAGAACTCGGATCCTCGTTCTTGGAAGGACATGGCGTCGGCTCTTGGTCAGGGTTCTTGAGGTCGTCGGTGATGGAGGCGTAGGCCACGGGTTTCTTGGTTTCGTCGATGTCATCTCTGGCGATTCCATCATCAGCACCACGAGATTCCATCTTCTTGAACCCGTTTCTTGGATCGCCCGACTTGGATCCCGTCTTCTCGCTTCCAATCGAGACGAAGTCCCAAGTCTCAAGAACCTCCGCCGAGTTCTTGTCCGACGTCTCGCTGCAGCTGCGGCTCCAGTTTCTGACACCCCTGGAGAGCAGCATGAGGTTGATGGCGCCGTCCTCGTCCTCAGGATAAGCTCGATCGGTCCGTTTCGATCTTATCCGCCTCCCTGCAACGGTTTCTGCCGCGGCCTCGGTGCCAAGTTGGCTGCCGAAGCCGTTCCGATGGACGACATTGCTGCAGGGGCCATCTTGCTCTCCTCGCTCCTCGGAAGGCTTCTCGGAGTGGCACCGCATGTGTCCAAAGAACGCTCTCCAGGACAGGAACTCGTTGCCGCACTCCGCGCACTGCATCTCTCCATCTCCGTCGCCGGAATCCGATAGCCGCCAGGTCTTCTTGGGGTTCTCCCTCAGGCTATAGCTGCTCTGCTGCCGCTCGTCGCCTTCCGACGAGGAGTTGGCGGCCACGGCGAAGTGAGACCTCATGTGGCCACCCAAAGATCTCCCGGTCGGGAAGCACTTGCGGCACACCTTGCAGCGATGCTTCGACGACGCCAGCGGCAGCGGCAGCGGCGGCAACAACCGATCTCCTTCCATCTCCCGGGCACTGACCAAGATCAAGAAAATACAACATATGAGCTCAAATGGGTTCAAGAAACCCCCTTAGATCCCTGAGGCCTCTCCATCACCGAGCTCAAGATCTGATTGGTGGTTCCTCTTCCTCTCGTAGCAGCTTCAGGATGTGTTGGCTTCCGGTGAGGGAGAAAAGAGAGAGGCGAGTGGCGGTTGCTTCTTTAGAGCCTTCTCACCTTTGTGGAGAGGAGGAGAATCCATGCACGGGAGCAAAATGAGAGAGAGAGAGCAGAGTAATCATCAGATGGCGATGATGTCGACAACCGGGAGTGGATGTGCTCAACAGAGAAGGGAGATAAAGGAGTTCACCACCACCACCATTCTTCCCCTGAGACTCTGCTTTCTAATGGACTGCTTACATGTGCACACCTTGTTTGGAATTCTTGATGGCACTTAAGCATGGTTGAAGTTGGAAAAGGTCAAATGTGGGACCTCACCAGGAGAACTCGTGCATGATCCAAGGCAATTCAGTTAATGAAGGGTTCTTCTCCTGGTGAAAAGGTCAACCAAGATCTCAGATGAAGGCATCCTGTGGGTGGGTCTCAAGTGTTGTTCTGATGGTGCCTCTGTCGACAAGGATTAGATTACTCGCACTGGCTCTGTGCATATTTGAGTAGAGAGAGAGAGAGAGTGAAGGAACAGTTGTGTCACTTTTCATGCAACTGCTTCAACATGTAATTTTGGTCAGTAAAAGCTTCAAATTTTCTTTATTCTAATGGAAGCTTAAACTGGGCAAAAGGTTCTCAAGTAGTAACATAAACAATATGCTGAATCCTTGAGTCAGAACACACTGAATCAGGGTAACTATGAGTTTCAAATTGAACACAGTCAAAACACAAAGCAATCAAACAAGTTCCTATGGTTGTATTCACAGTAAAGAAAAAGAAATCAATGTGAGAGACTACAGCCTTGCAAACTCCTAAAAGAGCTTCTAAAAGCTCCTACATCTCTGGAATCTGAACATTGTTCTCACTGCAATATCAATACTACCTTCTCTCAGTTATTGCCAAAGCAAATGACTCTTCATTTCTCTTCAATTATTTGTATAAATATGTGGCCACCACATCCCTGTGCTGCTCCCTTCCTTGCAAAATTCCTATACATTACACAGGCTAATGCAACTCTCTGCATATTCTATATAGTTATATCAGAGGTATAGAATCAACCATCAAAGGCTTGACATTAATTTGTTTGATACATAACCTTTGTAATACACATGCTTTCTTCCTAAAAAGTTAGAACCAGCATTGGTTAATTATTCGGTTTTAGTCCATCTTAAATCACAGTTGAAGCGATAACTCGAACCGAATTAACCTCTAATTTATCTCTGGTAAATAAATCCTCTGTGTATGATTCTAGATCAACTCTCTTTGTATGAATACATATATAGTTATACTAACATATTCAAGTCTGACCAACTCTATCCACCCTTGTCTTGCTACATTATGATTATGATCCATGCCTCAGTGGAAGATCACTGGATGATGGGACAGGAGAGATCTATTTTCTTCACTTCAAGTGCAAGAAAAGAAGTAAAGCAAAACTTTTCTGGAAGAAAGCTCTATCCAACCAGAAGTGTATCAACTGAAACAGCTCAGTTGCTGAGAAAACCCTCTCTGTGTTAGTACAGAGTTTGAGCATGATTTAGTAAAGTTGAAATTAGCAATAAACATTACAAATAATTGCAAAGAAAGAAATTACATATGAACAGGATTTCCACTTTACTCCCTCACAATTGTCACTCAAAAGTACTGAAACAAAGTGCAAAGTTTGTGCATGTATAACTCTGCAAATACCTACCTAAAAATGCTAAAACATAGCAGAATTATAGGTCCCAAACATGGAGGTGCATGTGTCCCTCTTGTACATCTAATGATGGAGCATGTGTTGCTGAGCAAGATCTCACCAGCAATGCTTGGAAAATACTCAAGAAGAGTCAATGGGGCTTGAATATTTTTGCTTGGGGGCACCATCCTTTTCCTTGCCCATGGTGGATGAGATGGTTTTGGGGAGCAACACCAACTTCCTCTCTACTTTGTTCTTTGCTGAAACTAAAGCATGACATCAAGCATGCTTAGTCTGCTACCAGTTAGATCTGGCTACTCTTTATCTGTCCACTTGTGTTTTTTCCCTCTCTCTCTCTCTCTCTCTCTCTCTCTCTCTCTTTCCTTTTGATTGAGAATAAATGACAATCCAAGCAGTCTTCAGTTATTTGCCTACAGAAATGTCAAGCTTGCTTTTTGGCATAAAAATGGTGTTCACTGTGTTTGATGCAGAAACTTTTAATGATTCAACATATATACAATGGTAGGACTTAAAAGAGTTATTTGATAAACATTGACTATGCATTTGACTCAATGTCTAGATGTGATACTCAAACACATGTTTGAACTTAAAGAGTCTTAAAAGAAATCAAAAGCTCTTAATTATTTTATGAGACATTAATATTTACTTGCTGGATGAAATTATCTTTTTCTGTCATATTTCCAATTAATGCAAGTCTTCTAGAAATTATTTATCAACTCAATACTCAAATCTTTTCAATAATATGTTCATCAATTTACTATGATTTTTATATCTTGGGTGTCACATAGTTTGTATTACATTAAGATTTCTTGTTCACTAATAAAAGAATATCAAATATATTTGGATTGCATCTGATCCATCATTTATAAATATTCCTTCTTTCATTTTCTTTTCCCACTCTCACTTTTCTCATCAAGTAAAATTGTAAAACTAATTGAGTTAAAATTAATCGAATAGTCGATTGGGTTTATACTTACGGGATCGTAAGAAACCTAACTTAAATACAAAAATATCATATATATAACACTAGATTTTAAATATAGTAGTAGAGGATAATGTTATCAGAGAAAAATAAAATATTACTTAACGCAAAGCCCAAAATGAAAATAATACAAATTTATTAATTCTACAAAAAATAATTTGTAGAATATATCCAAAAAATTGAAAGCACAAATAAGTATTGTTTTTCTCTCTTTTATTAATTCAATAAAACAGAAATATCTTATTTACTTATTTATTGATTGGTTGATAGTGAATAATCCAACGGCTAATAACATGATTTCAAATAATTCAGTTATTTTCGTCTCACTAGTGAAAACTAGCCGTTGAATCGCAACGTTCGAATTCCCACGGCACACGCGCTTCTCCTCTCCCTTTCTTTCTCCCTCTCTCCTCTAAACCTTTCGTCTCCTGCTTCTTCTTCTTCTGCTCCTCCTCCTCCGCCTTCGTTCGGTGATTGAATTCTGAGTGCAAAACCGCAAGAATGGCGACCCCTGCCAAGAGATCCCAAGCCCCGAGACGCCAAACCTCGGAAATACCGAAGCTTTCCGAGAACCTTGATCCCAATCTTCTTTCCACTCCTTGCCGACGATCGACGAAATCTCCTGCAACCAATTCGGCGAGGCCGAAGAAATCGGCATCCAAAATCCCGGCTCGGATTCCGTCATCATCGCCTTCCCCTGCCAAAGACAACAGCTTGGTTGCTCCCAAGAGGAGTTCCGTAACTCCGCTCAAGAGCTTGGACCCCGAGAAGTGTCATCAAGAGGTGGCTCGTCTCAAGGAGAATACGAGTAAAAGCGAACCATTGGCGGTGGAAGATATGGAGGTTACAGATTCGAGAGCGAGGGCGATGAAGCAATTGCTGCTGGAGGAGGCCATGAGCGGTCTACCGGAGTCGGGGGCCGGGAGGGTGACGTACTTGGTGAATGCTTTTGAGAGACTTCTTTCCATCTCAAAGGAGCCAAAGGGTGAAGATGGAGGAGAAGTCAAAAGAAAGGTGCTGAATTGGGCCTTGCCTGGCTTGCATCAGCCACCGAAGGCTAAGGTAAGCGAAAATTCTTGCTCGCCTGTCTTGTGTTCGACAGATTTCCCACATATAGAGGACTCCGAAGGAGATTCTGCCGAGCATTCTTCGGTGAACAAGAAGGACAAAAGGTCAGCGATAGCAGATAAATTCGATGTGAAACAGCCTTATTTTGCTTCGTCTCTGTTATCTAGTGCTGTCTCTAAGCATTTATCTAGTTCTTTCAGATTGAGCAATGGGATCAATGGATCGGACGAAGGGCGAAGAAATAGACGAAATGTATGCAGATATATAATGTTTATCTCGTTATTTTATACTGATTTTTTTCCTCGGTGATATATCTTGGAAGTGAAGCTCTTCTTGTCTGCCATGCTGTTTTTGGTTTTGCGAAAGTAACCATCTGCACATTCCAGAGCACTGGTTTCTCAGGAAGAAGCAGGATCAAGAAGTTCAAAGTGAAAAGCCTGCAACCCTTCAAGTTAAGGACTGAGGTAATATTTAAGTAGTTCAATTTTTCTTTAGGAATCCCCTTGCTCAGTTCAACAAATACACATCAGAAGAAAAAGCTAATCATTTGGTGTTCACCTGCCACTTGTTCTACAATCCAAGTCCTATAGGGAATCAAAGAGGATGATCACTACTTCTGGTTCTTGCTTAAGCTGCATTCTGTAGTGAATCCAATAGGGCATCTCCATGTGGAGAGAACCAATTTAGCCAGATCCTGATAGCCATTTTATGAAACATATGGGCATATCATGCCATCTTCTTGATGGTACTCACTGTATGCCAAGCAACTACTACTTACCTGTCCTTATATCATGATCATATGTATGCCCTTTTTGTGTTAGAATCTATCTTAAGCAACTTTTAACGAAATTTTTTGCCTCAGTTTCATGATGTCATGAATATGGAATTACATAATTGATGAATTAGATCCTCACTGTTGTGAATGAATCATCAGTTTCCCTTTCTTTTTTTACAGCAAAGAGGAAGGTTCAAGGAAGAGCAATTCATCAAGAAAGTGAACGAAATGCTTTTGGAGGAGGAGAGGAAACGAACACCAATTGCAAAAGGTCTTCCCTGGACTACAGATGAACCTGAGGTGTGCTACTTACAAAGCATATATATTCTGGCATTTTATCTAGTTTGATATTAACAAATATTCCCACTCTGCAAAACAAATTTCTTTCATTGTGCAAAATATAATCTTTAACACAGAACCGGAGGGAAAAGAAAATGTAATTCATTATACCAGAGGACTATCACAAGAAAGCTAGTCGTTTTTCCTTGGGTTATGTTTATTACAGCTTAGGAAAGCTACATAGATATCTTTGAATTTCACTTTGATAGAAATATCGATAACACATGATATAGTAAAACTTCACAAAAACGAAGATACAATTATTAAATTTGTTTCTTTCCTGAATATATATATATATATATATATATATATATATATATATATATATATA